AATAGATTTTGCATAAATCTCAAAAAGTCGAAATACCTCAAAAATCCAAAATCAATTTTGGAAACATGTATAGTCTAGACAAAATGACCTAAACCCCGGAGGTCTAGAATAAATGACCTAAACCCTGGGGTCTAGTTTAAGTTTTCTCTTTAAGGTATCAGAAATAGATCACATGTTAAGTTCATGTGACAAATTTAGCGTGACAAATTCTGGGTGACAAATATGATTTCCAGGATATTTAATAAAAATCGATATTCAAATGGTGTGACACGCGGTGATAAATAATCTACCTAACCCTAACCATGCATTTAGGCACGTGGTTCTGGTGATACCGGGTATAGATTCTTATCCTGCGCCCGCAGGGTTAGGGTTAGGGTTTGTCAGAGGTAATGTATTTATCACCGTGTGTCACACCTTTCGATCTTGGGGACAATTTTTTTTTAACGCGGAAACCATATTTGTCACCCAACAATTGTCACCTACCATTTATCACACGCAATTTTCACGTGAAATAATTTTGATCACCTGCAATATTATGGATCACTAAATTAGATGGCTAAACTTAATTGGTTGATCAAATGTGCAACTCTGCCGTTCACGCATATTTGTGTTATTTTTCAAGTTCGTTTTTACCTTGTTTTATCGATAAAATTTTCGACCCGTAATTATATATATATATCTATCTATCTAATTTTTTATAATTATTTTTTTTTTTTAATATTAAAAAATAAAATAAATGGCATCAGCGAGTGGTTTACAACGACGACGCAATGCCAGTGGGATCAATTCTACCAACTCATCATCATACGAAAATACTACTTCAACATCACTAGATTGGGGACTTTCTTCTGAAAATGGAGTTAGAATTGCGGTAGATCCTAACGACTTACCAGACGAGGAGGATAAAAATCAACCAACTCTAACACTTATGGAAGAAGTTCTATTATTAGGGTTAAAAGACAAACAGGTAATTTTTCGAATCTATAAATCGGAGTTATATTGTGCAAGATCACTAATAAAATTTATGAGCTTCTCGTAGATTGATGATCTACGAAAATTCTTTATAATAATTTAATGATAATGTAAATAAAAGATGATAATATGGATGATCAATTTATTCCATTATTAGTTTTTTTATTAAATCTAAATTAATTATTTTTAATTTTTAATTATTTAATTATTTTTTTATCATATTTATATAATCATTTTTAATCATTTTTAATCATTTTTAATCATCTTTAATCATTTTCATTATTTAATTAATTACCAAATTTTACGTATTTTTACATATTGACTAGGGATATCTTTCATTTTGGAATGATAACATTTCATATACACTTAGAGGATGTATTCTCATGGAACTCGCGTTTCGAGGACGAATAGCTATGATTAAAGATCCTCTTCGTCGTAAATTTCCTCTCTCAGAAAGATTAATTGAAGTTATTGATGAGAAATTAACTAATGAAGTTCTCTTGGATGAAGCATTGAAAATGATGAAAGCTAGCGAAACCATGAGTGTAGGAAGTTGGATTGATTTAATGAGTGGTGAGTTAGTCGTACATTTATCGAACATTTATTGTACATTTATCGTGCATTTATTATATTATATTCATCGGTGCGTTTATTGGGGTATATTTATTGCTATATCTATTGGTGTGTGGTCATTTTAAATATTTTAAATATTTCAGATTTGCATTAAAAATTAATTCTAAATAATAAAATAAATAAATATTGTTTTTAGGTGAAACTTGGAACGTATTAAAGATTGGATATCAACTCAAACAAGTACGTGAACGTCTAGCAAAAGGATTAGTAGATAAAGGAATTTTAAGAACGGAAAAACGAAACTTTTTACTTTTTGATATGGCAACGCATCCTGTCAGTGATTCCTCAGCCAAAGATGAAATTGTGAAACGAGTCATTAAAACATTGACGTTTCTTAACAATTTGTCAACGATGTCATCACCAACAGAATTAGAAATACCTTTTGGTTATTTACGTACAGTATCTATGGTATGTGCAGCATATGCCGCTAATGTATTGGAAAATGCATTATTACCACTAAATCATGAAATGCGAGAGAGAGCATATTCGAAGGTAGATGAATTATTAAGTGAATATTCAGTTTGGCCATTTTCAAAAAAGTGTAGAGTAGATATTCCGGAAGGAAAAGAATTACAAATTGAAGTTGTAGCCGCAGTTTTGAACGTATTTACAAAAATGGATAGTATTTTGTAAACAAAAAAAAATTTTGAGCTTTAAGAAGAAAAAAACTATGATAAAATTATACTTTGGATACATATATAAATGACTATTTTTTTGTTCTTCATATCTAAATGACTATTTTTTTGTTCTTCATATAGTTGTTTATTTCCCAATAGATAAACAAACTTTTTTTATTTTATTTTTATTATTTTTTTTTTTGGAGGGAGATGATCTTTTGTTTGTTTTGTACAGTATTATAAACAACGTTATTAGGTTATTTGTAACTTTTTTTCTTATTACAAAATGCTATTTCTAGTACATATTTCCGACATGTGGGATTTTCCTGATAGAAATTATTTGATAATTAGTTGATTAATGGTATTTTTATATTTATTGTTTGATAGTTGTATAATTATAATTATAGTTTATTATTTTATTTATTTTATTTTATTTTATTTTTAAATTTTATTTTCTAATATTATTTTTATTTATTCTAGTCTAATTTATTTCATTTTGGCATATATAATAAGATCAATCAATTTATTCAATTTATTTAGTTGGTCTATTTTCAATTTTAAAATTTTGAAATATTTTCTATTAGGTTATTCTTGTTATTTTTTATTTTTTGTTTGTTGGTTATTTCCAATTAGAATGGAATATATATATATATATATATGTATGTATATATATGTATGTATATATATGTATAATGTAAAATAATTTGCATAATATATACCAGTAAACATATATATAAATGGATTTTTTTCATAATTCATTTTTTTCTTGCATTTGGGTATCACTATGTACTAAAAAAAAATATTAAATAAATATATTTCATATTTATTACATACATATTAATAAGTTATAAAGCACAAACAGATAAAGTTTATACAGTTATTTGAATTTCACACTGTTCACATTTAATATAGTAAGTTTTATCTTTATATATCTTTATATTCTCCTTTTATTTTTTTTCATCATCATGCTTTAACTTGCATAAAGACATAATGTCTTATTGGTAATTCTGTAATAATCAATATTTTCCCAACCATATTTTCTATATAAATTAGAATATTATTCTAATGTTTTATTCTGGAAATAGTATGGGGTGAATGATGCATTTACCATGGTTTCTGATATTAAACTTACTTCATTAGCTAAATTAGAGATTTTAGATTTGACAGATGTACTTAAATTTTTGATTTTACAATATTTCAGTTATATTGGATTCATCAGAATATTATCAATAATCTTTTGTTAATCAATTTTAAAATAGAATTTGTACTATATACTTAAGATGTTTCATTTTATTTATACTTATTTTTTCAAATAATTTGTAAGCCTTTATGATACTTTGATTCTTTTTATATAAAGTTTTATGTGAGATTTTTGAAAGTTGTAAACTTGTTTCTTTAGATTTTTTTTACAGATAACAATAAAGTATTTTAATATTTTGTTATAAATTATATCTTCTCTTCAATTTTTCCATTATTATTTTTTATAAAATCATTATACTGAATTATGAATTTTTTTTTATAAATAATTTAACATAAGGTTTCTTCTTAATTAACTTTCATAATATAATATTTGGCATTAGTTATCTTGTCAAATAATTGAGCTAAATTGAATAATGATATTGTAAAAAAATTTTGATAAGAAGATATTACAGGAGTTTGATATATAATTTGAAAAAATAAAGTTTTAAATTTTTGATTTATCTAAAATAATATTATTTTGAATGCCATTAGCTATTACTTGAGCAATATTCTCTGTTCTCTTTTTTTTATGTAGGATATATCAAAAATTAACTGATTTAAAAAAGGATTTAGGAGAAATTTAATCTATGATAGATTTTTATTATTTTTATTATATATTGTAGAGATTAAGATCAGATATAAGTAATATTTATCATCATGTATTACACTATACTAGTCAAATACAAAAGAATAATTGTATCAAATGGTAATTCTTATATAAATTAGCTAAAATCAGAATTTTTTTTTGAAATAACATATCTTTTGTATTTGATCTGTACTATATATATTTTCAAATTGATTTTTAATTTTTAAGATATTTCATCTTTTTAAGATTTTTGAGATATCAATTTTATAATGGAAATAAAAAAATATTTAATTTAATATATTTTTAATTAAAAAATTTATCTGGATAATTAAAAAATTTTAGATTTTAAGTAAAATTAAATTGTTAATGAAAAATTATTTCAACTTTTGAATTTTAAAATATTTGACTTACTATGATAGTCTATTTTACATATATCTTTTGATTAATATTTTTGATATTTACTTATTATTTATAATATAAATTATTATTAATATTTTTCAAATTAAAAAAATATATATTTATTATTAAATTTATTATTTAAATTTTATAAAAAATTTTAATTAAATAATTATTATATATATTTCTTATTTTATTCTTTTAAAAAAAATATAATAATTATTCTATAATTTTTATAATTCTATCTATATTAGATGAATAACTTCCTAATGCATTATTTAATAATGAAGCAGCAGGGAGCGCGAGCAGGCTTTCTTATTTTGTGTTCCTCTACTTTACACCTTTGGGCTTTATGTTTTTCTGGCCTTTTTAGCGCTTTCTTAAGAACATTAGACAAAAACTAATTAAGGAATTGGATTGAGAACTTTCTTGTATAGTGTATTTCTTGTGAATTTTACAGCTTTAGAACTCTTAAATCGATATAAAAAAATTTTAATATTTGGAATTCGGTGTAATTTTACACATAGCTATGATGTCTTTAATTTTTTATAAATCGTCAATTTCAATAGTTTGGGATCCTCAATAGTTTTAAGTATTTTTAACAAAAATTTAACTAGTGAAATAATTGTATATCTAGAGAGGCTTTAATCTTTTATTAATAGTTATAAATTACATTGTCTTCCTTATAAATTTTAAAATGGTAGAAAGTTGAAACTGATAGTAAAAAAATAAAATATCTGATATGATTTAATGTATAACAATTTTTTTTCGTGTCGTCATCTTTGATGTAATTTTACATGTTTTTTTATCCATAGCAGATGAAGAAGTAGTGTCCTTATCAAGCTGGCGAGCATAAAACTGCTTAACATAAAAGTTACCAGCATGATCTTTACATGTTCTAGATTTGGCAGAAGTAAATTTTTTACATATATTAAATTCTTTGCAAGGAACACGTCTTTTAGACCTCCAATGCTCATAGTACCCTTCAGGATGACGACAACCACATCCACAAATTTCACCAGAGTTGTGTATATAATAATAGGTATATTTTTCAGACATGGGTAAAAGAGATAATTTTTATTTAAACAAAAGACCTAATTAAATAATATATAATAAAAAGTACAATATTCAAAATGGTAGACCACAAAAATATCGAATCTGCTTTAGTTGAAGTGATTAAAGTAACATATAGTCAAGGTACCAAAAAATATGACAAATTAGGAGCATCATATGTAAACTATCTTAAAACTTTACAATGAAAAAGAGATCCAGAAGATCATGTTAGATATGTTGCAAAACAACGTGTCCCAAACGAGAAAACTTATAATGAAAGAATGGCAGATTTCAAGGATTGGTATAATGGAGAGGTATATACAAGTTTAGAAAAATTATATAAATTATATTTCAAACTAGCTAGTTAGGAAGAAGTAGTAGAAAAAAGATCCAAGGAAGAGGTAAATGAAATTCTCCAGAAAATATACGGTTTAGAACTTTAACATTGTTTAAATATCCACTGTGAAGGTAATTCACTGTTAGCAGGTATTTCCAATAACTCTTCTGATACAAACGATCTTTTAGGACTAT